CCAGTTAATATGAGCTAAAGTGAAGTCACCAAGAAAGATAAAAGCATGTGGGCAGGATGCTGCCCATGTTAGTAGTGTATTTAGCTTGTTTGCATGTTCGATGTCATAATCAGGGGCTCTGTAACATAGTAAGAACCGAAATATGATATCTTACCAGCAACTGTAAAAAAGTCAAGCCACAAAATATTTTGTAAATAGCCTATTTTGTCAATAACTGTTCCGCCAGATTTGTCTGTATCCTGAAAGAGTCTTTCACCATCCTTAAATCAGACCTATGACCTATGAAGAGAAATGCTGGTGCGGAGGAGGAGGAGGCTCCCTTAGCAATTCAAGGTCCTTGCCCTGGCTCAGAGCCCGAGTTCAAAATCTGAATGTTGGCATTTTCTAAAATTGGGCAATTATTATATTTTACTTGCACTAGCATGTGTTCTGTTGAAATAGTAATTGTACATTTCTGGCATCCACTTTGAATGCAAATGCCGTAGAAGCTAAGCCAATAATGCACAATTGTGAAATAACAACTCTGCACTGTGAGAGTAGATGAGGTTAGTGGATAAAGAGAAATGTTTGTTCAGCAATGTTGTTTGAATTTGTCTCCCAAAGGCAGATACCAACATTGGGACAATCACAATATTTCTAACGATGCACAGCACCATATATTCAGTTCTCGTTGATTTAATGTGTACTTTTGCCTGATGCTTTTCATTTTTTGCATGTTATAAAGAAACTTGGCTCTATATTGTTTTTTAAAACGCTAACTGGTCATTTCCTCATCCTAGAATACTCTGACATCCATGCTGATTTTCTAACTTGGTTTCATTGTATATGACCTACCACTTTACAGATAATGTTTGTTCTTATCCAGTATTCTGCTTTTAACAATTACATTCACTGTAGTTTAGAAGATTTTAATTCCAGTTGGGTTTAGAATTTGTTCACAAAACTTTTTTAACTAATAAAAGGTGATTTGATTGGAGGTTGTTTGTATCTAATCCTTTGGTCTCTGATCATAAGAACATAGGAACTTCCTTGCTAGAACAAACCAAGATCCACTACACCATTCTAAATTATTTTTACAGCAATTAATCAACCAAGGCATCATCTGATTTGTTTCAAATCAGAAAGCTACTAATAATATCTAAGATAATTCTAGAAGCAACTGGCAATTATAATATATGAATTCAGAGGGAATCTGTACAGCAGGCCTGTCAAACTGGTGGCCGACAGGCCAGATGCATCATGTGCAGGCCATGCCCACCCCGGTTCTGCAAAGGCAAAAAACATCATGATACGTCACGTGATATGATCAAGTCTGACACCTGTGCGATAGAGCTTCTCTGTTATCCAGGCATGGTTGGCCCAAAGGTGCTTTTTAAAGAAGCAACTGGACTTTCTTTGTTTTTCCTTGAAGACTTTTTGTTTTTCATCCTAGAAGCTGCTTCAATTCTTCAGTCAGAGTTAAAGAAGCTTCTTGGATGAGAAGCAAAACACATTTTTTCAAGGAAAATAACCCAAAAGAAGTCCAGTTGCCTCTTGAAAAAGCACCTTTGGATTGGAACAGTTCAAAGGAAGATTACTGCAAATTTAACACAAGCTTCTAAAGTGAAAATCTAGAAGGAAAACAAAAAACATCAATATGCTATGTGCAGTGTCTTCTCTACTCTGTCCCTTAAGAGCATATCTGCATTTACCAGTTAGTGCAGATTCCAACTTTCTACTTAGCTCATCACCAGTATTGGTCACTCACTGCTTCCTGGGACTTCCATGACTATTGCAAGTGTATCTCACAATGAAGTTTTCCAGCTTTCATTCCAAACTGCTGTTTTCTGATCAAACCATATAAAGCATTGCAGTGCTTCAGTCCATTGCTCCATTCTAGTTCTAGTCCATCCTAATGGTAGCAGTATTAATGTTCTACTTACTTTTTTTACAAGTTGTTTATCTTCTCTGATTTTTGTATCTTTATTCTTGCGAGGTTTCTGTTTAAATAATCCATCTATTTTGTGCATTAAAAAACAATAGTAAAAGAAGAAAGAAACAGAACGAACTGAGTTGATATATTAATTTAACAAGTCTCACGTTAAGGGTTCTGGTATTATTCAATGAGATCATGTGAGCTGTTGGCTCAGATGTTTAATTTACACAAATTCCATCTTCAGGTATAACATTTTGCCTCTCAAAGATGCACAGATGTTGAAACTGAGCTGTCAGAATAAATTCTAATCAATGCATCTACTTAATTAACCTATTTGCTAAAGTAATCATTTAGACAAGCAATACACAGCAAGAAAGACCAGCTTTCTCCAATAACAGATTTATTTTCATTATTCCAGTAGCTGTCATGTGGTAAAATAACAATGAAAGGGTGATTTTTTAAAAATTATGGTTATATCTTAGAGGAGAGATATAGCTTTACATATAGCATGCTATTATTCAAATGAATATGGTTAATATATTGCTTTAGATTTGTTGCAACTCTCACTATTCAGAATGTAGTAAAATATGGTGAAGTCATTAATAATTATTATAATAAAATGAGTTTTAGAAAGCATTAGAAAATGTAATGTTGCTTGCAGATTTTCAAATAATTTGGTTAAAGGACGAATGTCCTTGAATCAGGGGTCACCAACCTTTTGGACCTCAGGGACCACCAAACTCATAATTTTAAATCCCAGGGACCACTGACTGGTTCTGTGGGCATGGCCTAATTTGTGGGTGTAGCTTGGTGGTCATGTGACTGGCTAGGCATGGTTTGTATGTAAATATTATAAATATTTATATAAATATTGAATTTTTTATTAAAAAAGAGCAACTTTTACCCAAAATCAGGCAAAGCAGGCAGGCAGATTGAGTTGCTCACAGAATCA